GGGCCACATTTTCATCTTACTCGGTGGGTCTTTTTTCACATGGCCAAACCAACGGGGCTTGCATCTTTCCGTTGGTAGCTACAATGGATTTTTGTTCGACTCTTGTACAAGGTAAGTTCGCAGTGTCTCCGGTAGACGTACATTCTGCTACAAAATGGTTGCAGCTGATCTAAGTGTCCCCTCTTCACGATTCGCTTCGGCTGTTCGCAGCATGCAGTAGTCATCACGGCCAGTTAGAATAACTCAAAGGTGCTTCCACAAGTTACGGCAAAGTTGCGTACGTTTTATTAGTGACTTCCCTTATGTTTAGTGCTGCGTTTTTGTGTTTTAATTGTCTGTGGTAGTATTATGCGCTCAAAAGGTTAATTTCGATTTCATACAAACGACCCTTTGATTATGATGTTCAGTTTGTAATGATGCGGTCGTTTGTGCCTGTAGTAGCAAAGATGATTTCGTGAAGAATTTAATCATCATTTCAGATGTATGCAACTCGAAACCATTACGTGCCTTCTGTAACCGTGCACGCGTTAATTCCTGACGTATTGATCATCAGCGGATCAGGACCTCACGCGTTGAGTAGAAGAGAGACGGAGATTTATGTCGATGTCAGCTGTGGCAAGTCCGTCATGCGGGGTGCTGATTTATATGCCAGCGGAATCATGGGATCAAATAGAGGTATTTGAGGTTTTCTACTTAGTCTTTACTTAGACAGCGGTCAGGACATTAAATCGATCAAAACATGCCAGCGTCATAGTTTGTTTCTGGCGGATATGTCATTTTCCGGAAAGCGAGCAAAAAATATAGTGATATAGACAGTACAGACCCCGACTTACGTAAGAGTTACGTTCCGCAAACTTTTAAGTAAGACCATTTTATGTAGGTCAGGTTTAACTCATCCTACCCGTTATTCACACCCTATTGCTTACTTATTTACTCTACTTGTATACAGTAGTGCACTGACTTGTTTTAAAGGTTATTTCTGTTAGTTTCATTCATAAGATGGAGACATCAGTTAGATCTCAATATGTAATTATTATGCAAAGTGATATATTACAGTATAAACAGTATTAGAGAGTAGAGAAATATAAAATGTTTAATGTTGCTGTTCACTTTCACATGAAAACATCAAGAGATGGCTGGTCAGTGGTTTTTTTTCTTTTTTTTTGCGAATCACTCATAATACGCTAAAACGTCATCTGTTTTCCACTGAACTTTTAAGAACTATAAGGTATTAGCATCCATCTTCTGTATTGGTTCCACTGCTGATAAAATCTCTCGGAATGCGATTGTCATCTCTTTTGTCCGGAAGTGTTTCGGTTCCTCTTCTAATTCCTATGTCCCAGCTTCAGCGAATTTAACTGTTTCTAGTGCAGTGAGTTTTTTTTATAGTTCATTCCCATTTGAGTCAAGCAGTTCTTCGATATAATGTTCATTAACTCTTCTTCTAAATTTAGTTGTTTAGCTAGATTCATTACTTTTTTTAGTCAAGTGTTCAACAGGTTGCTTGAAGTTTTTCCTTATTAAAACCATGCATTAATTGCGGACAAGTTATTTTCAGTGCCGAACTTATGCTATTTTGGGCAGCATCTTACTGTTTTTCCCGTATCGCTTGATAAATATTTCAGAACTTCCAAAAATCTTGGACCATGCATGCATACATACATGCATACCATAAAATCTCGGACTGTTTAAGAATCTTTGTTCATAACCTATGTGAAACATTGCTGTTTGCTGGAATGCGAGTAAAATTTTTAAGTGGAAATTTTTTCCATAACCCTTTCAGGATAATTTGCGTAAGTCGGGTTCGTCTGTATTTTGTGTAGAACCAGCGTGTTTCATGTTGAATATCGTACAGAATTTGTTTATACAAGAAATATTGATGTCGCACCGACGTATAAACAGTACAGGAAAGTTGTTTCCAAAACGTTTACTCAAAGCTGACGTTTCAGATCATGTTTTGTACGCCATCTCATCATTTATAACAATACACCGTATAATGCTGTAACGGCTGAGTTCATCAGCATCATTTATGGCATACTAGGCAGTTGTCTTGAATGGCCGTTTGATGTTTTCTATCGATGTATCACTGGTGTCTAACGGAAAGTCGTGATTTACACAGCTGAGTGTGCAAATGACTAACGCTTCCTTAACCTGAGATATCCTGCAGCTGAAGTATCTCCTTGCAATACCTTAAACTGCTTTCATTATGATTATGTATGATGATTAACTACCGCGTGTTTTGCAATGGCTAACTTTTTTCGCATTCCGCTTTAGCACATATTTTGTTTCCTACCTCAGCCTATTTTTTGCTTACCATTTTTCTGACATGAGCGTTCTTTGCCTAATGAGGTTTATTTTCTGTTCGATTTTCTTTTTTCAGAGCTGTTTTCCGTTTCGCTAATGTAAAGTACGCCATTCTCATAGGGCAGTTTGTACATACAGCCTTTTTTTCGTGGCTCGGCGAAAAGTGAAATGTTTAATGGTATTTGAATATCGGGAGATGATCACATTGGAAGGCCAAACCTCATAAGCTGGCGTCTAATTAAGGAATTTGCGGTGTAACGATGAATATTTTACGATGAGGTGAATAGAAGAGGGAGATAGTCTTGTCAGGTTCGTTTGATAGCCTTTCATTTAATATCATCAGCGAATGTTCGTTTCTTGATTTCTTCTGCCCGATATGACTAACTTTGGCATGAAAATCACCTTCCATGGAGCGCTACTTTCTTCCTTTCTGGAAAGTGTGTCTTTCTTGGCGCCTTTCTAAACAGTGTGTAGATGACAAATAGTGACGTAGGTACTACCGAACTATTTTTGTCCTCACGAGACGCACTGTAGTCAGATGTCTACCAGTAATATTTCGGTATCTAATTCAAGAAGGATTAACTGCCATTTTCTTTTTTCTTAGTGATCACAGCAATGCTCGGACAGATTTTTTAGAGTTGTTCCAAAAGCGCTTTTTGGCTCCAGTTTTACAGACAGTGAGTTTA